CCGCCACGAAGATATTCCTCATGAATGCCGTTGAGCGTGTTGCTGTCGCCCTATACCCATTCCTCGAACAACTAAAGGGTCAAAACACCACGCAAGGACCCGTAGCAGACCTCCGAGCATCCTTCGAGCCGGGATCAGCGGGCGTCGTCATACCAACGAGTGACAAAACTCTCCGCTTCGCAGCGCACCTTATCGGGTCTCTGCGTTCAGTCTTGAAATCAACACTCCCAATCCAGGTCGTCTACGCTGGCGACGACGACCTCACGCCGGAGAGCAGGAAGCGCCTATCGCAGCTGGTGGAATCAGGCCCACCGCTTGAATTTCTCGACATCCTAACCGTCTTCGATGATACAACGCTGCAGCTCAAAACAGGTGGCTGGGCGATAAAGGCATTCGCAGCTCTAGGATCACGGTTCGAGCGAGTCATTTTAGCTGATGCTGACGCCGTTTTCTTTCAACCACCTGAGGTCCTACTTGACCACGAAGCGTTCGTCCGTACCGGTGCCCTTCTGTTCCATGACCGGTTGCTTTGGCCAGGAGCATTCAAGGAGCGCCATGAGTGGTGGGAAAGTCAGATCAGGCAACCGGGCCCTGAGCTGAACAAATCGCTTGTATGGACGAAGTGGTATGCCGAGGAGGGCGATTCGGGCTTGGTGGTCCTCAACAAGAGCCGAGTGGATACATTTGTCGGGCTTTTCCATATCTGCTGGCAGAACTCGTACGCTGTCCGCGAAGAAACGACTTACAAAATCACTTACGGGGATAAAGAGACGTGGTGGTTTGGTCTAGAGTTGGTGGGTGCTAGCTACGAATTCTCGGGCCACTATGGTGGGATTGTCGGGTGGCCAGAGGTGGATGATAAGGGCAGACAGAAAGTCTGTAGCTTTGTTATCGCGCATGTTGACGCAAAGAACCAGCTCTTATGGTATAATGGGAGTCTGCTGAAGAATAAAGGAAGGAGTGAAATGGCGGATGAGTATGAGACTCCAACAAATTGGATGATTGATGCCGAATGGCAGAAGGGCGCCGCCAAACAAGATATGAGCTGCATGGTAGGGGGTGAAGTGAGGAATCTGACACAAAGTGATCTTGACGTCATGCAACGATCGATAGAACTGGCTAAGCATCTTGATGTGGCGATGCACCCTGCGTGAGATGAAGGAGAAGATATATTAATCCTTCCTACTTACCGATATGATACCCTCAAACTCACTAACGCGGAATACTCGTTGGATACATGCGGCCCTGCGAGGTGCCTATGCTGCGAGACGTCTAGACTATTGACATGATACCGAACAATTATCTTTGAGGAGCATTATACCAGCCGCAACCTACTACGCCCAAAAATGCCCCCAGACAGGCTTTGGCGGCCGATTTCTCACTCGCCTTGAATCAACTCACGAAAATTTTGACTACACCTTTCATCGCCATCCATGGAAGCAGATCAGCATTGGACCATCTATTCGACAAACATCATGTACATATATTCGATATTGTTCTAGGAGGCGTCGCGCATAGCATAGAGTGAAATTCTGGGCGTGAGCAATCCGTACACTGTTCCCCTCCGAAGGTAGTTGTCATATGGCAGTTTTCTCACCAAAAATTGGATGTTTGTTGTTCACAATCTGTCGACAGAGTTAAATATGAGAGCCTTAGTTGCTTCGTATACTCCATGCAATAATACATATGTCTAGAGCTATTATATATAGTATTTGGACATACTCCGTAACTAAAGATATATTGAGCTTTGTCATAAGAGATATAAGTATGCCAAAGAAACTCAATGCCTATGCTCCGTATACTCTGTATTAAAAAGAGTTTCTAAGTTGATATGACCAATACGACTCTCGAGAAGCTGAAATTGATAGAAGACATAATGACCCATTGCGTGATTTAACTATGGGCGAAATATGGGTATTAGTAAAAAAGATTGATATGAGCAAATCCCGGCCCGATTTGGTGGTAAAAATCAACGACGGTGATGGAAGAATTTCTTGGCGTCGCTGTCGAGTACTCGGGATAGGCTTCTAGCAAGAGTTGATTGGCATCATTCAGAAACTGCTAGGACATTGAGACAATATCAAAGTATAGAATACCTGCTATTGATCTCTGCTATCAAAAATAATTGCTTAAAGGCCTGTCTAAACACTGTGCAATGCAACATCCCGCCAAGACAATGGTTCAACCTCCGCGGAGTTGCAACTCTTGCATTCCGTGCTCTTGGGCGTGATTTTTACACATTTAATTACTAATTGTCCGAAGCTTCGTACTGGTGGTATGATACCATGCCGTATACTGAAACCCTACCATGAGGGTCTCTGAAGATATCGGAACCCTCGATCTAAAACAATGAGACTTGACAAGTTCCCCACGGACAAGAGAACCCTAATCTATTCCAAGTAGACGGCGACGAGTTTAATTTTAAGCTCACCCTGGGTCTAACAAGGTTGCTGTATATCCCTCCCCACAAGGCTGGCCCCTTGTGATTGACATAGGATTGGGTTCACTTATTCGATCAGCACTAGCTCCACCTCTACACACTTATACATTCATCTAACTACATTCTAGTGGATAATGCGTTTTTAAATTGGTCAGTGGCAATTGCGCGCAGGGGAACAGGGGGAATAACCCGACATTCACAAGACAACCCCTGCACCAGATACTGCAGTCCTTAGGGTAAAGCCAACAAACATATTGGAAATATCGAATCAAAAAATGAAAACACTACATGCTCTATACAGCGCCAGAGTTACAAACACTCACTTTCATATAGAGAAACGTGGTCATGTGAGACAGTCGAGCCCTTAAGCCGCGAGCGGCAACTCAATAGCTACCGGTGGGTTTTCGAATGATCGATTGGGATAGAAAACCCCCGCAATACCTATCGCAAACAGCGGCCGACAAGTCACAGATATAAGTAAGGGGATAGGAGAGTTTCCATAATCTATATTGACGACGGCATGACTATCTCTGTCGTGGTGGTCTCGAGTTAATTTGATCCTTTGTACTAATCAGAGCGGACTGCAGTTCCAGGCTCGAAGGTAATTGAATCATCCCACTACATGTCTTATCCCCTAATATCTTTAAATATTTCTATTCGGGATATCCGGCATTGCATACGTAAGTGTGTACTCACTCAGTAAGACCAAGCTCATTTAGTTGTTTCAGGCTAAAACAAGCTTGTTTTCAATGCCGAAGCTTAGCCCTCTACAGGAAGAATTACGATAACGGGCCCTCTAGATAAAACAAACCCCACTATGATCCTGATACAATATGCCGTCCAATAAGCCGGTATCTTGGTTCATCATGTAGGCTATTCAATCCAAGAAGATATTTACAACCCCGAGCTTCCCGTTCTCATTCGCAGTTCCAACTTATCGTTCATTCTTTTCTTTTACTTCCTTATTCATTCATTCCTTCCTGCGACCGGTTCGCAACGTTTTAATCAAACTTTTCATACTAGCTTCGGAATTCTTTCATAATGCGTTCCGTCTACGCCGCCGTTTCTCTGGCTCTTGCCCTGCGCGCTGCCGCCACTGAGAAGGACTCCTGGGCCTTCGGTAACGGTTTCTACTCCGGCCCTGCTACTGGCGCCCATATCACCAAGGCGACCTGGTCTCTTGTGCCTCCTACTGTTCCCCAAGGTGTGGAGGTTCAGGACACCAGTGATCAGGTCTGGGTGTCCCTTTGGATCGGTCTTCAACACACCAATGGCGATGACAGCTCCTACCTTTACCAGCCTCTTCTGAACTGGTCTCCTGACCAGGAATCTCAGTATGTGGTATCCTTGATGTGGATTGTGCGGGAGATACTAGAATGCGTTCTAACAAGGACATAGGGGCTGCTCCGCCAGCGCTGAGGAGTGGTGTGTTGCTGCTAGCACCTACACTCCTAGTAAGTTCACATCGAGGGCTTGGTAACTGTACCCCGACGCTAACAATCATGCTAGACGGCCAGAACGGTCAGGCCTACGTTACTATTCCCAAAGACACCCAGGTTGACTTTGAGGGTAAGCCATGAACTCCACTTCAAAGCGTTAACCGATCGTATGCAAATATTAAATTCTATATAGTGACCGTCGAAGACAAGAAGGTCTACCAGACCGTCACCATGGACGGCAAGGTGGTCTCCAAGGAAACTGATGGTAAGTCATCACTATTTACAATACGACTCTGCGCAAGGAATGCAACCTAACGGCTATCTTCAGACCTCGACGCCGAACTCCTCTACCTCTACTCCGGAGACGAATGCTACACCGGCTCCGGCAACTGCGGCACCCTTGAGGCTTACAGTAAGGATTCCCCCTCACTACCAGGCAACGACGTTAGAACACGCTTAGCTAACAATACCAGGCTGGAACAACATAACCATCCACCTCAGCGCTGCTGACGAGAAGTTCGGTGACACCCTATTCCTGTACAAGGGCTCCAAGTCTTCTGGTTTCTCTACCTCCGACAACGGCTTGACCTGGCACGCCGATTCTATCAACATCGAGCAGGATACCTGGGCTGATTCTTAAATGCCATTATGGTGGGTAATTGCTTTGCACAGGGTCAAGTGAGGTGAGAATTATGCTTAACACTCTTTTCTCGGTCTTATTCTGTTTTATGGTACAATGGGCAGCGACCCTGGAAAATTTCGTCTCATGTCCCAAAGAGCTTGTACTATTCAAGCAATGCTCTCGAATTATTTTTATCAGCTTGAGTTAGTGTCGTTCGGATATGTCTGATAATGCCAATTGGGGGAACTGGGGGAAGGGTTGAAACAGTACGAAACGTCTCAAAAATGGTCCTTTTCGGCCGCCCGAACTACAGGCACTCGATGCCTCAGAATATTTCTACAGCATGTAATAGTGTAGGTCTGTCCATCATACCGTACCTTTTGCCAATGCTCAACCCCATTTCTCATATCATCACATCCTCAGCTTCCTCCCTCTATCCCTCACCGCGCTGGCCTCCGCAGGCATAGTAAAACAGCGCGTTATGCGAGCGTCATCCAACGGCGAGATGGCCGAGCGGTCCAAGGCGGTTAGTACCACTATTACATCTCAGTTCTTCCGAACGTTCACTAATAATCTCTCAGCTGGAGTAAGGTTCCAGTCTCGAAAGGGGCGTGGGTTCAAATTCCACTCTCGTCAGCATCGTTTTCAATATTTTTGCCGTGGTTCTTTTGCGATCCACGGCGTATTGGTGCATATAGGATCAGTACATACGACGTCGGCTCGCGGCGATGCTGACAGTGTAAAAGCCATCATCTAGGGCTTCACGTTTCTATACGTGTTCTCTGCATTTCCCCGCGCTGCTGCTCCGCATTTTCGTATAGTGAGATGTTCAAAATACTTCAATCATAGTGCCTACTATATCCGATAGAGAATTGGGTTACGAACAAATAGTGTTCGAAGGCCGCGCTTTCACAAGAAGGCTTGAACTGGGTGACCTCAGCCCCTCTCGTAATTCGCTCGGTTAAAACATACAATTCATGTAACCACTCAAGGACTGGTCTTATACCGTTTATGCCAACTATTGAAGGCAGGGACGGAAAGAAAAAGCGCTCCACTCAATTACTCGTCATGAGGGCGAGATCGCCCTGGTCTAGTACAAATTCTCCAAGCATATATCAAGGTCAGACTGTGACAACATACAGAGTAAGAACGAAGAGTATCATCTCATAGAATAGGCAGTAGAATGGCTGCTATTGATAAACAAGAGAGGACGGCTTCATATTACAATGGACCGACGCGGCCACCATGCGGACCAGATTCTGAGATAATCGTAAAGCATGAATGGGTCGACAGCAACACAGTCAACAATTTTAGTCTGCTCACAGAACCTAAGCGTTGGCCCCTAAGGGATGTGGGCCGAAGAGTCCACCCAAAGAAGGCCGCGGAATTCAGGGTGACTGGTTTAATGCATGTTTGCTACAGAAACTGGATATATGAGTGGAGAGAACAGGAGTCTGTCTACGGAAGATCTCGCTGCTGGTAGCGTTCCATTTATAAGACGGAAAGACCCGGTATTTAGCCTGGATTCGGTCACGGTGTGGGGTTGTAGGGTGCAGTGAGACGAAAGAAGCTTGTCGGAGTGTTGCGGAAGATTTAGCTTATCGTGATGGAGTTTATCTATCTGCAGGAAGGGTTACTGCCAATGCCTTGAATTGGCTTTACTTCGGACTTGCTTGGGGTTATTAGCTTGTCTGTGGAAAGCCTTCATGGAAATATTGAGTAGCATGGATATACTTAGTACGCACTCTGCCAATACACTCTACATAGAATACCCTATGAGGTCCTAACCATGTCCAATGATACAAGAGTCAATCTGTTGAGCAAAACTAGTCAAAAGCCGCAAAGCATGAACTTTTTGTATCAGATTCCTCCCACCCAACACATTTCCAGCAGTTCAGCAGCCCTTTAGGATCATACTTGTTCTTTATCTTCAGTAGTTTGCTATAGTTCTCTTCGCCCCACCAAGCCTCCTGCCAATCCTTGGTAAAAGGATTAGCCTCAGGACTGTAGGCGCCACTACCCGGGGTGATCTCCTCAAGGAGTGCAGTCATGTATTGCATCTCAGCCACCTTCTGCTCGCGGACTTCAAGGGTGCTGTTCCATGCCCAGAAGCCATCAGCACCCACAGACCAAATCGCCTGTCGCCAGGCTGGAGTGGTCGAGGTAGATTTGGTGTCTTTGTATAGCAGAGGCCCAACTACAGGGATGTATACACTTCCACCTTTGGATAGAAGAAGTGAGAAAAAGTTCATGAGATCGGCGCGACCACTGGCCGTCTGGAAAACAGTTTTCGGAATAAGGCGGGTGGCCGGAAAGTGAGTGTTTCCGACGGTGACTGCGTTGGAAACAACATATTTCTGATAGAACGCATACCAGGATGAAAGCTCTTCAATGACGGTAGTACCCCCTTGAGATTTGACGTATGCAACTACCTCAGCAAGGGACTCTTTGGCTTCAGATAAGGAAAGCAACGGTGTGACATTGATCAACGAGTTTCCCTTGATGTGGCCACCCCAACCCTCATAGGCCCACTTGACAGTGTTGTTCACCAAGATATCGAGGAATGGCAGCACGTTGGTCGAATTAGCTTTCAGAGGGAATTTGACGAAGGCAGAGATCAGCTTCACCTGCGGCTCAACGCGATGTGTGCTTTCCATAACCACACCAAAGGTGCCACCACCGCCCCCACGAAGAGCCCAGAAGAGGTCTGGGTTCTCACATTCATTGGCAGTGCGATACCGACCATCCGGTGTGACCACTTTGTACTGAACCACGTGGTCAATCCCCAGGCCATATACAGGAGCGAGGGTTGAATGGCCACCCGTTTGGACCCATCCGCCCGATACTCCAAGAGTAGGCGAGTAACCACCGATAAATGTCACGTTGTGCGTATGAGCAAAATTGTAGACTTCGTCGAAATTCACACCCGCTTGGACAGTGATAGTATTGTATGACGGGGTACTACCATTAACAGCACAACCGAAAGGAACAAAAGACGAATTATAGTGCATGCCTTTGAGGTTTCGGGTCCAAAGAGAGAGGGTTCCTCGTCCACTGCTACGGCCCAAGAAGTCATGCCCGCTGTTTTTGATTGAAAGGCGAATGCCCGAGCAGCTTGAGAACTTGAAAGCTCTGATCACATCGTTTGGGTGTTGTACCCTAAGGGAGTAGGAAGGTGTATTTCCCTGCTCGCATGAAGCGGTCAGAGCCTGCAAATTGGTCGGATCCACGTTATCGAGTAGACATTGGTTGCCAGGCTCGGATGCGCATATCTCCGCTTGATTATACATGAAGCCATTGGCAGAATTGGCGCGTAGAAAGGGGTCGCTGTAATTTTTCTGAACCAAGTTGCACGCTGCTGTATCCGATCCCCCGGAGAAGCACGGGGAAGAGAACGGTTGCAATATCTGCACCTGACCGCCGAGGGAGACATTGAAGCTTTCTATGGTACAGTAATCTGCTGCAGTGATCTGCAAGACATGGAGGGCCAGCAGGATGACAGCGCTTATGGATGCCGAAGGGGCCATTTTTCGAGAGTGGAAAAGGGTAGCGACAAACGAAAAAAAAGCATAAACAAGGCGCTGCAGAGAAATTTGCAGACAGGGAAGGGGTTTCCTTAGAGCTTAAGAAGGAATGTAGTCAGCTTGATTCAGTCCACCGCAGGAATGAGGTCCGAGGATCGGCACTGTACGTTCCCCGTCACGGTTAGCCTCCATGCAGCTGGAGTCGAAACCCTGACTGATGTTGCATTGGCATATAAATCCTAGTTGCATTAATACTGTGCGATTAGCGCCTCGTCCCAGAGGTAAGATGCCGCCCACCTTCGGTGAATTTTGTTATTTGACACCAGATATATCACCATCATGAATAGCTCCCTAAGCCAAAGCGATCCCACGGTGGTGTTTTCCGCAAGCTGTGCTTCATGGCAATCCGGAATGCATACTGCGGAAATGTCGTTACCATTTCCCCCCACAGTTGGAGCTGCGAACGCGAGTTTTGTATACATTCTACGTCTGATTGCGTCCCGGATGTCCGCGGTCGGCTGGCAATTAGAGGATTTATGGATGGGAACTGGTTTGCTTCTCTCGTACGGTGCTACCGCCTGTGTGGTATATAGTGAGTGGAGGACAGACATTCGCCGAGTTGTCTCCTCTTACTTTGCGTTGACAGCTGTTTTCCATGGCGTCGGCGTTTCCAGGAAGCGATCTTCCGCAGGACGATCGTATTCGCCTGCAGTTCGTAAGTCGCATATTTACATCCCCCCACCCGGACAGGTGGACTTTAATTTTGTCGGCTAGGGCTCGTGGATGATCCAGAAGTTCAAATCACCTGTCTATCTTGGTGTTTCTTAGACTATGGTCCGCACAGTTATGTGGGCGTCCACAGAACTCATGGGGAATATTTTCCAATGTCAGCCGGTCCAGCATTATTATGGTACCAGACTGGAGGGACATGGTGTAGCTGACCAGACCAAGCTGTTCCAAGCATCCACTTGTTTATTTCTGGCAGAGGATGTGATTATTCTGCTCTTGCCTATGCCGGTAGTCTGGAGACTGCATATTACATTCCAAGAGAAGATTGCGCTGACAATAGATTTCTCGCTAGGTGCATTGTATGTGATATCGAAGATGACTTCTGGTATCCGAACTGATCACCCCAGGGTCTGCATCTTCGATTTGCCGCGCGTTATTGAGTTTAACGATTTTCACATGAACAGCCTCGCCTGTACGCCCTATCTCTGTTTGCTTAATCTCTATTAGCTAACTCAGTCTAGCATCAAGCGCCAAAGAATCTGTCTGGGCCCGCCCTCGAACTAGACATTACTAGACATCACCATTATCTGTGGCTACCTTCTACTATTCAAACCCTTCATTCACAAATTTCTCGGCAAACTCAAAGGGCAGCCCAGCCGTTCCTCACGTACAACACGGTACATCAATAGTGCAAGCCAAACCCCAGATGGGTTTCATAAATCAGCAACCCTCACGGATTGATGGCAAACAAGAAAGTCGTGGTAACGATGGAGTCTGATGGACAATGCAGTTCGGCTGTTGTACTACGTGGAATTACGGTTCATACGGAGGTTGAGCAGGATGTAGAGAGTAGGTCAGTTAGCGCCAGCTCGGACACACTGATGGGAAGGACATGGCCGCGATGACGTGGGCAGTATTCTGTCATCCTCTTTATTCTAATTTCGAATTAGTCAAAAGTTACACCGATTTGGCGCAGAAGGTCTCGTCGAACATTTGAGAACCCCGGTATAGTTGGTTGTTGAGGATGCCATGCCCGTTGGGCGAGTCATGATTGCCTATAGCTTGTGTCTGATAGGCCCAAGAACAAGGCTCCCCAGTGTCTGGATGGAATGTTGATCGGGGTTACGTTACCTGTAAGTCCGACTAGATCGTGAAAAACACTTGAGCATTGGCCGTCCCTGCACAGGGGATGTAGAAACGATTTGATCCAGGGTTGTCCAACACTAATAGCCAATCGTTTCATTCCCCGGCTCGTAGCACAAGATCGAAAAATACTACATACAAAGCGCCAACGGATAGTGGCTGCATTGGTGATCCACTCAGACAGCGCCGGGTGACGCGGAAATTCAGCCCCTCAGCTAGCCAGACCTATGATGGGTGTTT